TATTTCTTAATAAGCATTTTTTAAGTAATGTATTTCTTAAAGTTACTGGGTAGAGCAATTTGTAGTAATTGTTTATATAATTTACAGTTAGGGGCAGCAGAGACTGTGGTATGTCATAATTACCTTTGTATCTGTTACCCTTACCCAGTATAGTCTGAATATTTTCTGTTTAACATTTATTCGCTATCATTGTTGAAGCAGATACATATTCTATATAAAACAGCATGGATGGCTGGGAATGTGGGCTCATGCCTGTAATGCCAGTGATTTGTGAGGCTGAGGCAGGAGGATTGCTTGAGGCCAGGAGTTCAAGACTAGCCCGAGCAACATAGCAAGACCCCCGTCTCTCAAAGAAATTAAAAAATTAGCTGGGCATGGTGGCATGCACCTATAGTCCCAGCTACCCGTGAGGCTGAGGCTCAAGATCAGAGTTTGTACCTGTCATGAGCTATGATGAAATCATTATACTCTAGCCTAAGCAACATAGTGAGACCCTGACTCAAAAGAAAAAAAAAGGGCAGTGCCTGTGGCTCAGTGAGTAGGGCGCTGGTCCCATATACTGAGGGTGGAGGGTTGAACCAGGCCCCGGCCAAACTGGAACAACAACAAAAAAATAGCCAGGCACTATGGCAGGCGCCTGCAGTCCCAGCTACTTGGGAGGCTAAGGCAAGAGAATTGCCTAAACTCAAGAGCTGGAGGTTGCTGTGAGCTGTGACACTACATCACTCTACAGAGGGCAACAAAGCGAGACTCTGTCTCTAAAAAAAGAAAAAGAAAGAAAGAAAACAAAGCATGGTTAAATTGTGAATAAACTGAATCATACTCTTGCTCTGTGACCCAGGCTCGAGCGCAGTGTCATGATTATAGCTCACGACAGCCTCAAACTCCTGGGCTCAAGCAGTCCTCCTGCCCCAGCCTTTCAAAGTCCTGGGATTAGAGGCATGAGCCACCAAACCAGCCTACATTTTCATTATAAAATTTTCAGGAAACACGGTTCATTGGGATTCAGGTAGAAGAGTTGCCAACATGAACCTGCAAATGCAGACTTGGGAGCAACTATACACAGATTTTAGTTAAAGGGCATGTGTGTTGGGACAGATTCTTCCCAAAGAATCATAGGAAAGCCTTGGCGCCCAGAGCTCAGTGAGTAGGGTGCCGGCCATATACACTGAGGCTGGTGGGTTTGAGCACAGCCTGGACCTGCTAAACAACTATGACAACTTCAACCAAAAAATAGCCGGGTGTTGTGGTGGATGCCTGTAGTCCCAGCAAGAGAATTGCTTTAGCCCAAGAGTTTGAGGTTGCTGTGAGCTGTCATGCCACGGCACTCCCCTGATGGGGACACAGTGAGACTGTCTCAAAAAGAAAAAAACAAAAAAAGAATCATAGGAAAGAAAACACCACAGAGATAAACTGAAAAAAGAGGTGTCTGGGTGGCTCCTGTGGCTCAAAAGAGCAGGGGGCCAGCCCCATATGCCAGAGGTGGCGGGTTCAAACCCAGCTCCAGCCAAAAACTGCAAAAATAAATAAATAAATAAAAGAGGTGTTTGAATAATGATGAGTTTTCCAGTTTTCCATTGGCAAAGAAGCCCCTGAATCCTCCTCTCTTTGCATGATTTTCTTTGCTCGGGAAAGGATGATAGGAGAAAACAGAGGAGAAAAGAAAGGTGGGAAAGAACATCATCACGGTTTCAGCTCTCTTGGTCTGTCTTCAGCAGCACTGAGGCCACAGGGCTTTCAGAAGCACACGTTAGAAGGCCTAAAGAGCAGAAACTGGCCTTTAAAGCAGAAGATCGGAATAAAAAATACAAGGGGCTAGAAATGACAGCAATTTAAAACAGTAAAGAAGAATCAGTATTTTGGCAATCTTATTTCTTTTTAAAAAGCTATTACTGGTATCTACTCTAAAAATTATTTAAAGTGTGCTATTTTAGGGCGGTACCTATGGCTCAGTGGGGAGGGCGCCTGCCCCATATACTGAGGGTGGCGGGTTTGAACCCGGCCCTGGCCAAACTGTAACAAAAAATAGCCAGGTGTTGAGGTGGCGCCTGTAGTCCCAGCTACTGGGGAGGCTGAGGCAAGAGAATTGCCTAAGCCCAGGAGTTAGAGGTTGCTGTGAGCTGTGATGCCACAGCACTCTACTCAGGGCGATAAAGTGAGACTCTGTCTCTAAAAATAAAAATAAAAAAAAAAAAAGGGCTATTTTAATTTTTTAAAATCTGTGAATGGTTTCACAGCATATGCAAACCATTTTATTTTTACAAAAAAGAGAAAAGTTTATCTGTGCGTAGGAAAAAGAAAAGATGGAAAGTTCCTATCCAAATGTTAGCAGAGGCAACCACTAGATAGGTGGAATTTTCATTTTTTTCAATATTTATCCAAATTTCCCATAACAAAAACATATTGTGTTTGCAAGTAAAGTAAGAGTTGTTTAAAGGAAGAAAGTAAATTTAGGCTCGGCGCCTATAGCTCAACCGGCTAAGGCGCCAGCCACGTACACCTAAGGTGGCGGGTTCGAATCCCCAGCCAGGACCCGCCAAACAACAATGACGGCTGCAACCAAAAAATAGCTGGGCGTTGTGGCGGGCGCCTATGGTCCCAGCTACTTGGGAGGCGGAGGCAGGAGACTCGCTTGAGCCCAGGAGTTGGAGGTTGCTGTGAGCTGTAATGCCACAGCACTCTACCCAGGGGGACAGCTTGAGGCTCTGTCTCAAAAAAAAAAAAAAAAAAAGTAAATTAAAAAATATATAGATAAAGAATGGAAGTGCATATCATTAGGCTGATCTTAACCTCTGGCCAACCACGCCCTTCCCCGCTACACACACACACATGCCTGCTTTGGGTCTAGATAACATGCTTGAGGCAATAAAGTCAAAATTACAGGAGAAAATTTTGAGAAATGAATAAACAGGAGGGTAAAGAGACATGACAATTAAATGAAATGCATGATCTCAAGTGGAGAGGGAGGGATATCGCCATAAAAGGCATTACTGGGAAATTGGCAAACATTTAACATAGCCTAAATAATAGTATTTTGTCAATATAAAATTTCCTAAATTTAATCACTGTACTATGGTTATGTATGAGAATTTTCTAGTTCTTAGGAAATATAGGTAAAGGATCACAGTGTTTTACAATTTAATCTCAAAAGGTTGAGTGGAGGGGCTTGAGCAATCCTCTTGCCTTAGCCTCCCCAATAGCTGGGACTACAGGAGTACACCACTATGACCACCTATTTTTTATATTTTTAGTAGAGATGGGGTCTCCCTCTTGCTCAGACTGGTCTTGAACTCCTGAGCTCAAGCAATCCATCCTCCTCGGCCTCCCGAAGGGCTAGGATTACAAGCATGAGCAACATGCTGGGCATAATGCTCATATTTTAAAGTAAAAAGTTAACACGTGCCTTCTCAGGGCCTCTCTCAGCTGGTATCTAGTTAAGTAAGTTGATGATGCTACTATATCCACTGTATATAAATTCCTCAACCTGCAAATTGTCAACTCAAAAGCTTTTCTAAACATAAAATAACCTTACGGAGCAAAAGCTTCGCCAACGTCTGTCTCCAACAAAAGGCAGTGAGTAGTGGTTTTCTTTTTCTTTCTTTTTTTTTTTTTTTGAGACAGAGCCTCAAGCTGTCCCCCTGGGTAGAGTGACGCAGCATCGCAGCTCACAGCAACCTCCAACCCCTGGGCTTAAGCGAGTCTCCTGTCTTAGCCTCCCAAGTAGCTGGGACCACAGGTACCCGCCACAGTGCCTGGCTATTTTTTTTGGTTGCAGCCATCGTTGTTGTTTGGCGGGCCCAGGCTGGATTTGAACCCGCCATGTTAGGTGTATGTGGCTGGCGCCTTAGCCACTTGAGCCATAGGCACGGGCTGAGTAGTAGTTTTCAAGCCTGGTTTCACTTCAGAATAATCTGGAAACTTTGGAGGAAGCAAACAGAAAACATAATCCTGGGTTCTATCTAGGACCCTCTGGAGGCCAACTAGCTGAGCTAGATAATTCTAGCTGCAGTCAAGGTAGAAAACCTCTGTATTTGATGTACTACTGAGAGTCTCTACTTAGATTGGAAAGGTGGATTGTAAGTCCGAAGCCGACACCATGGAAGTCTTTTGCTCATGAATTTGCCTCTTATAAACTTGTGCAGTGTCACATTGGTTAGGATCAGCCTTTTAGAAAGTAGATGAAGTGGGCTTCTTATACTCTAGTGAAAAGCTGCCCACCTTACTAGTTTCCCACCCTAGCTGTGGGAAGACTCCTGTCCTATATATTAGCATTATTATTCCTAGAGATGGAGAGAGAAGAGAATCTCGGGGGATGTACATTTGTTTAATTCCAGCCTCTGAACCACCTCTGTACACAGATTTGCAATTAAGGGACAGTGCTTCAGCTGAGTGAGGCAGTCATTCTATTGGGTTGTTCCTCATGGCCACCAGCAGAGGGAGCTGCACACCTAGCCAATGGACATAGCGTCGCCTCAGGACTAGGATGTGGAAACAGGTGGAATGCTGAATCACTCAGATGAAGAAGGCTAAGATTGGACCACCCCTCTATCATGTCATGGTCTGATTACTTCTCTCTATTTCCCACTGGACTGCAAGCTCAGACTATGTCTGATTTAACCTCTATCTGCAGAGTCTCGCACGGTGTCCAGCACACAGTAGCGCTTGGCAAATATTAATGATGATTGCTATTTCTGGCATGAGATAAATGAGTATTCACCAGAACCGGCCAGTTTGTTTGAATTTTCTAGGATTGTCAAGAGGCTGAGATGCTCTTCCTCCTCATTAGACGCCTCACAGGGTCTTTTCTGTATTATAGGCCAATGGGACACATTTTTTCCCAGAACACCTCTTCTTCCTAGGGACCCCTACAAATTAGATCTTAGGAAATCCACCCCTACTTTGTATTCTCCCCACTCCTTCCGTGATCTATAGAACAGGACAGGACCTTACCACCCTCACTTACTAGCCCCTTGGCCCAGACCCCTGTGTCAGAGACTCACACTCCAGCTGGCACCAGTGGCTGGAACTTCCACTGCTCCTCCTCACAGTCCAGGAAAAGCCGGTTCATGATCTTGTTCTTCTCCTCAGGGGGAATGAAGTTCTCAATGATTAGGTACCTGGGAGCAGGAATGAAGTAGAGACCACACAGTCCATGTGAAAGTCGAAGGATTAGGAAAAAACAAGCCAAAAGGCAGAGGGAGCAGAGATGGGAAAACCAAAAAGTTGGGGGGGAAGGATTCTTCCAGAAATATAAAAACTTGAAAAAATCACTGCTTCTTATATGAAAATTGTATCCTCAGGGCCTCTGGAGTTATTTTTGGCCAGCACCCAGCATGTACTTTGTGGGGGTTCACCAATACAGCCAGAGGAGGTAGAGAAACTCCAGAACGGGGCCCTAGCCTTCATCCCTCAGGCATGTTTTATTTTAGAGGGACCCATGGGCACGCATGGGAAGGACAGGAGTCTGTAGGGAGAGGCTGTAAGGAATAAGGGCTGGCCATAGGGACCTAGAAGAGGGAGAGGAGTGAGCCCTACTTGAGCTTGAGTTCACGGGTCTGCTCATTCTGCGCCTCCTCCAGGTCCTGCCGCACCCGGATGTACTCGTCATGTTGGTCCTGGATTTCTGCCTTCACCGCCTGCAGCTTGGCGTAGAGCTGGGTGGGGACACGTACATCTCAAGGGCTGCCCAAGGTGGCAACAAAGCCAGGTCACCTGGCCAGGGCCCCAAGGACTGCAGGATTAGGTCTACCAGCTTGGCCTAGGATGAGGCTGGGGACCCTGAGCTGGGCTCCCCCTCACTGCCCCACCACAAATCAGGCTGGGCTTTTTAAAGGGTTGCCCTGTCCCCCTACAAAGAAGCCTGTGGCCATTATCTGCTCCTTCTCAGCTGCTATCAGCATCATGCAATGTTCAAACTAGAAGGGACCTGAGGGACCTTTTGGTCCAATGCTCTCTTTTTATAGATGAGGACGCTGTGGCACAGACTTGCTGAAGGCCACACAACTAGCCAACAGAAGAGCCAGAACCAGGACCCAGGTTTCACTGGAGAATTGAGGCTCAAGGAGTGGGAAGCCTGGGTGAGTTTGGATGGTTTGGATGGTGACTCCTTCCTCTCCAGGGGTTCTCAAAAGAGAGGGTGTGAGCCTGTAATCCTAGCACTCTGGGAAGCTGAGGCAGGTTGATTATCTAAGCTCAGGAGAGTTCAAGGCCAGCCTGAGCAAGAGTGAGACCCTGTGTCTAAAAATAGCTGGCGTTGTAGTAGGCACCTGCAGTCCCAGCTACTTGGGAGGCTGAGGCAAGAGGATCACTTGAGCCCAAGAGTTTAAGGCTGCTGTGAGCTATGATGCCATGGTATTCTACTGAGGTTAACAAAGTGAAACTTTTTTTTTTTTTTTTTTTTTTGAGACAGAGCCTCAAGCTGTCCCCCTGGGTAGAGTGCCGTGGCATTACAGCTCACAGCAACCTCCAACTCCTGGGCTCAAGCGAGTCTCCTGCCTCCGCCTCCCAAGTAGCTGGGACCACAGGCGCCCGCCACAACGCCCGGCTATTTTTTGGTTGCAGCCGTCGTTGTTTGGCGGGTCCGGGCTGGGGATTTGAACCCGCCACCTTAGGTGTACATGGCTGGCGCCTTAGCCGGTTGAGCCATAGGCGCCGAGCCAACAAAGTGAAACTTTATCTCAAAAAAAAAAAGAGAGCGGGTGTGGAGGGCAGCCCTGGCCATCTCTTCTACTCCTGACCTACTGAGCCGAGTGTCCCTGGTAACTGCCACTGTGGCTGGGCCTCTGCTCTAGGACAGTCATGTCAGCAGTCCTGTGGCCCTCCAGGTCCTTCCGAGAATCTAAGCTGGAATTTGCTGATGCTCCCTACACTAGACCCTCAGCTCATGTACATATCTTTTCCTTGCCAGGGACTTTGTGGTGTTCTGGTGAGCAGGTATTCTCATTCTTTGCCACGTCCTTGAGGGCCTTATGCTCCCTGCCTGAGCTTTCCCAGGCTTAACTCTCCTTCTTGGGCCACTTTATATTTCCCTGTCCTGCTCCAGGCCCAGCTGTGCAAACTGTGACTTACTAGTGACACTATAAAGAGAGAAGTTACCCAGGACACGAGGACAGCAACCCTGGATACTAGAAGTGACAGAGTCCCCAGCCTATGAGCCCGCCCTGGCTGAGAGAAAAGGCTCTATCCTACCCCCAGTACCAAACTCCTGCCTTCCCTGCTCCCCACCCCAGAGCCCAGGGGTTCAGTAGTTCAAGCAAAGCAGGGAGGGTCTTTGATGCACAGTGTCCTTGGGCAGAGGCTGCTGGGCCCTCAGCACCCCTTGACCGCTTTCTCACCTTCTTGAGTTTCTTAGTTTTGACCTCCACCTCCTGCTGCAGGGACGTGTAGGTGCCGCGGAGCTCCATGGTCTCCTCATCTCGGAGCATCATCTCTTGCTGCATTTCCCGCTCACGGCGTTTCTAGGATAGGCAGGGGGGCTCAGTGGAGTAGCATGCACTTGGCAGGGCTGAGGGAGACCAGGGGACCAGCTCTCTCTGCCTATCGTGGGACCTGGCTTTACCATGACACATGTCTACTTCTACCCAGTGCTACGTGGAGCCTCTCGGAACCCCCTCTCAGCTCCTGTGGCCATGATTTTACTAGGTGCTGCACCATGTGGCTGGAGACCTCAACCCTAATTGTGGGCACACTCCAGAGATGTTAACCAAATATACAGATGTCTGTCACAATGGCTCCCATACTATCTCACCCTCTCCCCAAGGAGTGTCATGGTTCCTTGGTAAGTTCAACAAATTGTGGATCCTAACGATTTGGGAACTAGACACGTAGTTGGCAAAGAACTCAGACTCTTGTGGAAGGCCCAGGAAGAAGTACCAGGTGCCTTGTGGAGGCTGACATCATGGAGAGCCATCACTTCCTCTCACCCCCCAGCTAGCAGTGCCCCTGCCAGACAGAAGACCCTGGGCTAGGAGATGCATGGGACCAGGGTGGCATGTCTTAGATCCTCAGGACTCTAATTCCAGGGATCTTTAGTTAATGCTGCTTACTGCCCTACACCACCCAGATAGGACCTGAAAGCCGTGTACCCCAAGGGGGCCTGATGCCCCGCAGCCCTACCTGCTCGGCAATCTCCTGCCGCTTCAGTTCCAGCATCTTCTGCTGCTCATTGGTGTGATCCATGATGTTCCTGCCCCCGATGAGCAGCTTGCTCTCCATGGCCTGGGGACACAGAGGGATTAAGAGATGGGCTTTTCAAAGGGCCACAGCATCCCCAGCCGGAGGGATGCTGCTTCCCTGTTTTGAGATTCTTCTAGGAGTGGATTCAACACGTGTTCCACATGGGGCCTTGTAGCCCTCAGTAAGAATGGAGTTTTCCCCTGTAGCCTTTGCGGTTCCAGCACAAGGTTTCCATTGTTAGGAGAACCATTAGGAAGGTGGAGAGGGAGCCCCTCTGGGAATACAGGGTTCCCGGTCTGTTTGCTTCGGATTTACAGGGCAGGCTAGTTCACTGGGCCTGGGAGCGGGTGTGGGGGATCTAACCCTGGCAGCCAGAACCCAGCTGGTGTTCGGGAGGTGAGAGAAGACTCAGTCACCAGCAGCCCAGCCCCTTTGCTAACTGGCTCCTGACTCAGGGATAGAGCTTTCAACACAGGCAGCGGGAAGGGGGCTGATCTTTGGTCGATGTGAAGGGAGAAGACTCCACTGCAGCTAAGGGGCAATGTGGGACCCTAAAGCACATGAGCACTGGAGAGGGCCAGAAAGATGTGGGTTCTACCCACATAATTATCTCGAGGAAGTGGGCAAGTTAATCCCCTTAGCTTTGACATCCAAAATTGGGAACACCACATACGCTCCAGGATGGCTAGCAAACTTTGATGAGCACTAACTATCTGTCAGGCACTATGCTAAACCCTTCATAGCCACTATTTCTTTCTTTTTTTTTTTTTATTAAATAATAGCTGTGTACAGTAATGCGATCATGGGGTACAGTGTGGTGTTTTCATATACAATTTGAAATATTTTCATCAAACTGGTTAACATAGCCTTTATGTCATTTTCTTAGTTATTGTGTTAAGACGTTTATATTCTACTTTTAGAAAGATTCACTTGTACCCTTGTAAGATAAACCATAGACGTGATCCTTCCAATCACCCGCCCTCCACCCATCCATCCCCCTCACCCCATATTCTTAGGCTATAATTAGGTTATAGCCTTGATATGAAAGCTATAAATTAGTTTCATAATAGGGCTGTGTACATTAGAAGTTTTTTCTTCCATTCTTGTGATATTTTGCTAAGAAGAACATTTTCCAGCTCCATCCATGTAAACATGAAGGAGGTACATAGCCACTATTTCCATCTTCCCTAAGAGAAGTCCTGGTCCTCTCTCCATTTCACAAAGAAATTGAAAATTACTGGCCTAAGGTCATGCAGCTAGAAAGTACAGAGAGATCAGATTAGAACGCAGCAGCCCCAGCCTCACTCTGTGAGCCCCCTGCTGTGTCAGCGCTTGGCATAGACATTCAGTCAGTGCTTCTCAAATCTGAAGCTGAAACGATATTGAATTTGCATCAAGTGTGTAAATTGCAACCACATAAAACGCTTTTCCACTACTGCCGGTAAGAGGGTGCTGCCCCAGGGCATCCAGTTGTCCTCTGATTTCATCACAGGCCTCCTGGAGGGCTGAAATCACCTTGAGCCACCAGAATTAATAAATTGGCTGCTTCCCCACTGGAATTTTTCCCAGTGGAATCAGCTGACCTGCCTGAGGGCTCTCCAATCAAGGGGTGCTAGCAGACTAGGGCAGCAAGAAGTCACTTGTGAGGTTCACATCACAGGGGACAGAGCAGGAAGGGGGTTAATGATTGCTTTTGGGAGGTCAGAAGTCAAGCTATGTGAGTGTGCTGGAGGACACAGAACAAAGCTGGGCCAGCTAGAGGCTGGAGCCTCACACCAACCCCACCCAACACTGGAGGTCAAGGAGAGAAGTGGCCCTTGAGAGGCTGGCTGTCCTCACTTCCTCACTGCCACCCCACAGCTGCCTGTGCTCCTGGCTAAGAGTCTCACCAGCTGCTCTGTCACCATGTCACAGACCTAAACTTATCCTAGACTCCTTCACACTCAAGGTCAGCACCTGCATAACCACATAAGTGAGCGAGCACCTCCTTCAATTGTGCCCTCAGGACATCTCACTCACACCCACATCTGGCCAGTGATTAAATGCCATCACTGCTTCTTGATGTGGCTCACACCATCCCCTCCTTTTTGTCCTCGCTACACCCACTGACTGCATTGGGATCAATCCTCCTGACTTGCTAGGACCCCTGCTATGGCCTCCTGGCTGCCTCAACTTCCCCTTCCATTTTTCTTCCACATGCCACCCAGGGGGCAACCTCCAAAAAGACAAGTCTAAACATCTGCTCTTCTGCTTCAAACTACTGTACTGAATGGACCTCCGTGTCCGGCAGGATGAAATCCAAGCCTGTTGCAGTCACAGGCCCTGTGGGCTGACCTCGCCTCCCAGCCTCCTCTCGGTGCTCACACCTAATGCGCACCCTGCACTCCAGCTTCTCAGAAAGAATCTCAGCCCCCTCAATGTGCAGTGGCATTTCCTTTCCCAAGTCTGGGCTCTTCCTCCCCCTCCACATCCACCGCAACTTATCCTACCAGACATAGCTTGGGTGCCTTGGGAAATTTTCCCTGGTCCCCTCAAAATGCTCTTTGGGGCCTCCTCAATAGGCAGGACATCTCCTACTATTTCCCATAATAGAATCCTTATTGGTCTCCCCTGTGAGTGCCTTCAGGCCAGGAATCATGCCTTACTGTTATCTTAGGGTTCCTGGGGCACCTGCATGGCATATGGCAAGTGAGGAGCATTTGAAAAACTGAACAGAATCCTTGGGGTAGTCGCAGGTGGGTTCCAGGTCCAGAACAGGGCCAGACGCTTTATCTCAGTTTTTCTTCCTTCTATCGATCAACTCACACTCACCATCCTAGGGTCTGAGTATCTGGGAAACTTGGCAGGAGGAGTGGGGTAGGGGGAGAAAGGAATGGAACCACAGGAAGAATGCCCCCTGCTGCTGTGGACCACGGATAACCAAATAACCCATCATTCTCACTAGCAGCTAACCAGGTCTTCGGGGGTCTCCAAATCTGGGACACACTTGTCCATGTCAAGCCCGAGTCCCTGCATTTCCCTCAGCATTTTATGTAACTCTAGCATTCTTTACTCTTTGCTACATATTGGAATCATTTGGGGAGCTTTTAAAAAATCCAGAGCTATGAACTTCAGAGTCAAAGCATTCTATAATAGACATACTCCTATCTGACAATGTGAATGTTACTTTTTTTGCATTATTATTATTATTATTATTATTTTTTGAGACAGAGCCTCAAGCTGTCCCCCTGGGTAGAGCGCCATGGCTTCACTGCTCACAGCAATCTCCAACTCCTGGGCTCAAGTGAGTCTCCTGCCTCAGCCTCCCAAGTAGCTGGGACCACAGGCGCCCACCACAACGCCCGGCTATTTTTTGGTTG